TCTCCTCCCTAGTCTCCTCCCTAGTCTCCTCCCTAGTCTCCTCCCTGGCCTCCTCCCTGGCCTCCTGCAGCTGAAGGAGGATGAATCCTGAGTCCAGAGTTTTGCTCCATCCAGGCGGAACCAGCAGCGCTCTCTGGACAGCTTGCAGGCCAGCCTGGAGGCGGAGAGCCGCAGTCGCAGCGAGGCGGTTCGTCTGAAGAAGAAGATGGAGTCGGACCTGAACGAGATGGAGGTCCAGCTGGCGCACGCCAACCGGCAGGCGGCTGAGAGCCAGAGGATCATCAGACACCTGCAGACACAGGTGATCCCACCTGACCAGGCGGTCACCTGCACATGTGGGTCAGTCCCCATCACTTGGTTCTGCTGCAGGTCAAAGAGCAGCAGGTGGAGCTGCAGGATAAAGTCCAGGCGGCCAATCAGCTGCAGGAGCAGCTGGTTCTGCTGGAGCGCCGCAGTGCGCTGATGGCAGCAGAGGAGGCGGAGCTGAGAGCGGCGCTGGAGCAGACCGACCGCGCCCGCAAGACTTCTGAGCACGAGCTGCAGGAGGCGGCGGAGAGAGTCGGCCTGCTCAGCTCTCAGGTACGGCCGCAGGCGACCCGTGACCCCTGACCCCCGCCGTCGCTGACGTCCAGACGTTGATCCGAGACTTCCTGCGTTCCAGAACGCGGCTCTGCTGAACCAGAAGAGGAAGCTGGAGACGGACCTGTCTCTGCTGACCGGAGAGGTGGACGAGGCCGTGCAGGAGAGCCGCAGCGCCGGAGAGAAGGCCAAGAAGGCCATCACTGACGTCAGTCCTGACCTCTGACCCCTCGCTCAGGCAGTGTTTGGCCCCGCCGTGGTTCCTGATCGTTGCTGTTCCTGCAGGCGGCGCTGATGGCCGAGGAGCTGAAGAGGGAGCAGGACAGCAGCAGCCAGCTGGAGCGGAGCAGGAGGAGTATGGAGGCCACAGTGAGAGGTCAGACCCGGTTCCCCTCTGAGTCCGGATCCGGTTCCCCTCTGAGTCCGGATCCGGTCCCCCTCTGAGTCCGGATCCGGTCCCCCTCTGAGTCCGGATCCGGTTCTCCTGTGAGTCCGGATCCGGTCGCCCTCTGAGTCCGAATCCGGTCGCCCTCTGAGTCCGGATCCGTTTCTCCTGTGAGTCCGGATCCGGTTCTCCTCTGACCAGATAAATGTTGGTCAGAGGGGAACCAACAGAGGTAGAAACATTCCTGTTTCTACCAGGAAACAGGAATGTTTGTTTGGGTGCGTTTACCCAGAATGCCTTGTGCTGTAAATATTAGTGATGAAAATATTAAGTTCTTTTAATTACTAAAAGGTTTTCAGTAATTTAACCACAGCAGCCAAACTTAATCGTGTGATAAAAAAAGCCAAATTTTAAATGCAGATATTAAATTTGTTCATCTCTTGAGCTGGATTAGTAATAATCTGAACTGTAGATTATAGTCCAGATGAAGGAGCTGAGCTGTGGCTCCTCTGTCAGACCTGCAGGTGAAGCTGGACGAGGCGGAGCAGTCGGCCCAGAAAGGAGGGAGGAAGCAGCTCCACAAGCTGGAGACCCGAGTGAGGAGAAGTTCTGCTGGGCTGTCGGTTCTGACCCGCTAAACCCAGACGGGTTCTGGGGATCCAAACCAAACAACCTGCTGTGAACCAGGAGCTTCTGCTTCAGTTTCAGAACCCAAACACACATTAACGTCCTTACGACGTTTTCAGACCCCACAGTGTTTTACTTTCATCTCTTCAGCAAATTGATCTTGATCAATAACAAAAACCTTTAATGTAACAAAGTAATGATTAAATAAAGAATGTGTCGCGTTCCCAGAGCCTGGATCAGATTCTGCTGTTTGCAGGTCCGGGAACTTCAGCTGGAGCTGCTGGAGGAGAGGAAGAGGAGCGAGGAGTTTCAGAAGAGCCTTCGTCACTCTGAGAGGAGAGTGAAGGAGCTGTCGCTCCAGGTCTGAGCCGCCGGCTGCTGCTGCTCTGGTTCTGTTGGGCTGCTGCTTCATTGGTTCTGTGTCCTGCAGTCGGAGGAGGACAGGAAGACTCTGCTGAGGATGCAGGAGCTGATCGAGAAGCTTCAGGCCAAAGCCAAGAGCTACAAGAGACAGGCTGAGAGCGCAGTGAGTGAAACCGCTCAGACCCATCGGAGCGCTTTTATTCTGAAACATCAGCAGCGTCAAAAGGCCTGAAAAACACAAAGAGCTGCATCACAGGAAAGGTCAAAGGTTACCTGTAGATCTGAAATAATGGCGGCCTTCAGAGTTACAAACAGAGTAAAACTTTCTACATCCGGTGGTTTCCTCTTTTCTCCGTTTTATGTGGTGTCATTCCTCCATCTGTCCACCAGGAGGAGCAGGTGAGCGACACCAGCGTCCGGGTCAGAAAAATCCAACACGAGCTGAACGACGCCGAGGAGCGAGCCAACATGGCGGAGACCGCCGTCAACAAGCTGCGGCTCCGAACCCGCGAACAGAGCGGCGCGGCGGCTCTGGTGGGTCCGGCCCGGTCCGGTCCGCTCTGCGGCTCACATCCGGTCATTATTCACTAACAGAAACGTTTGTTTTTCTGCAGATGAGCGACTGAGGCGGAGGATCAGCTGTTTGTGTGATGAGTTTAATGTCAGATTAATCCTGATTGTGTCGGTTTTGTGACCGTGTCGCTGTTTTCTCTGTGCTTTGGTTCGGTTTTCCTTTTGCTCTTAGTCTTTGTTTTCCAGTAATAAACCTTTATTAAAGCTGTTTTACCTGTTTGTGCTTCAGGGCTCCTGTCTTCACCAGAATGTTTGCAAAGTTACTTAGTTACAAATTAGCAGCAGTAAATTTATGTTATTTAGCCTGACATGAGGGGCAGATGGGGTTCAAAGTCATTATTTCATCATGTTATACATTAGCTTATGAATGTCACAATTTCAAAATAAATATTTAATTTCCAAAATAATATTTAGCTTGCTAAGTAAATTGAGCTACTTAGCTCCAAAGTAAATGTTTGGCTACAGGCTAACTAATCAGCTAGCTCATAACTATATATTTATTTAGTTTCAAACGCAATATTTTTGCTCTAAGCTAGCTAAATATTTAACCCAATAAACTTGGGCTGCACAGTGGCAGCTAGAAGGTCGTGGGTTCGATTCCCAGGGTCTTTCTGCAGGTTTTCTCTCTCTGGTCTCCTGTCAGGTTAACTGGTCTGTAGAAACTGGCCTCAGTGTCCATCTGTCCTGTCCGTCTCTCTGATGACCTCAGGGTGACCCCGCCTCTCGCCCGTTGACCTCCTGACCCCAATGGGACAAGGTGCAAGAAAACGGATGGATTAGTTTAGCTGTTCACTTACAAACTAAATTCTAGTTAGTTGAGGTCAATATTTAGCTTAATATTGATTTTAGTATGAAGGGTGCTTTTATTTAATAAAATTGATTAAAAAAAATAAATATTTAGCCAGACATTAAATTAGCACTGAGCTAGCTGCTTAGTGCCGAGTCCAGAGCTACTAAATATGTAGTGTGGAATAAATTTTTTTTATAAACTGACATAAATGAATACTATGGTGGAAAATTGACTTTCAGGAAGAAATCCCAATTTTTCTTCATGAAAGACTAAATAAACTTTTAGCTGTTTGTTTTTGATGATGCAGCTTTTTAACGGTGCCTGAAACAAACATTTTTCCCACTCAGTGGTTTGGAGTTCAACACTTTATTCACAGACTAAACTCAGCGGTCAGTGTTTCCACAGGTCAGTGGGGCTGAAACAATCGTCCATCAGTCAAAGTGCTCTGCAGTTTGTCCTTCTGTGTGTCCAGTCCGGTCAGAACCGGCCCGTTCTTTACAAATAAAACACATCTAAACTTTTACATTCAAACAACTGCGGCTGGAGGATCGGACCGAGACGGACTGGACCCCCCAGAGAGGAGGAGCCTTCACAAACAGCTTCAGGATCAGAACCAGCCTCTGGGTCAGACGGACTGGACCCAACATGAACCTTTACAGGTCCAGAGTCTGAATCACAGAATCAGTCTGCTTCCGGCAGATCCTCCGTTTTACTCTAAAATCATAAAAACATTTTTAATGCAGAAAGAGGAGATTTATATGGAAGCCCATTCCTGCCATTAAAGAAAGAAAACCCAACAGGAAGTCATAAATACAAGTTTTAAAGTCAGAATTATGAGGGGAAAGGCTGTGCTTCCTTCACTACCTCATAATAATTCAAAACTCTGATTTTAAAATATTCATATTTTGATGTTAATTGAATGTTGTAAAGTACAAAAGTAAAACAGTAAGTTACAAAGGAGTGGATAAAATAAACTTATTAAAAAACTTTGTTTCCTCTTTGTACCTTCATTCAGGTTCTTTATTAATGCAGTAGATTAAATAAAGTAATAATCTTCAATATCCTCAAAGGTAAAGTATCACCAACAGAAGCTCTGGTAGTAACAACAATAATGATAATATGGATAATAATATGACTTCCTGTTGGACATTTATCAGTCTCCTTCATGGTACAAATGTGTTTCCATAGTTTCTGAGCAGATCCACCTGCAGCAGGTTCAGGATCACAAAACAATTTATTCATCATAAAGTCTTTACAAGTTAGAACCCAAACATAATCATCGTTCATGTGGTTTATAATACTGCTGCATTTCTCCACGTCTCTCATTAAGGAGGGGATCACCATAGCAACCAATGACTCGGCATTTTCTGATTTTTGACAGCTTTAGGTTGCTAGCAGAGCTAACATGTTGAACAGCAACGCCACAAATTCATAAAGGCATTGTGGGAAATGTAGGAAACCAGAGTTAAAACTGCAGAGTGAAACCGTCATGTCCGCCCAACAGAGCAGAAACTACTTTAATGATGAATGAACAAGCGAAACTCTGCAGACAGGAAGCTGACGTCTCAACTTCCTGTGTGAATCCAGTCATGTTTTCCTGGAAGCTTTTCCTTCCTCCAGATCTTCTGTTCCATCAGCTCAGTGGAGGAGGAGGAGGAGGAGGGTGATTGGACGGTTAAAAATCAAACACACACAAAAACACAGTCCTATCTCTGATTGGTTCACGAGACGTCAGAAACTCCTCCTCCAATCAGAAAAGTTCTTGTCGGCAGTGGCGCCGTGGGAACCGCAGTCCATCACCTGGTTAGTAATGCTGTCGGTCACCATGGTAACCAACAGTGAAGTCAAAGGAGGAAGTCACATGACCACAGTGGTGACGTCAGACACGAAGCGGTCCTTCAGCGCCTTGCAGATAAACTAAACACAAACGAGATGAAGGCGGCCAATGGGAGGAAGAGGAGGAGGAAGGATTCTGACTCATCGTTCTAAAAAGAAGAAATTTTCTCAAATTTAATTCAAAATCAGACAAGAATTGAGAGGAATTTATCTGGGAAGATGCGACTGTAACAGCGAAGCCTCCAACACGGCCTGAAAGGCAAAACTCAGGGAAAAATGCTTTTGAAATGTCACAGACACATTTCCCTGTTCTCCTCCTGCTCCTGCTCCTCCTACCTCAGCCTCCCTCCTCTTCCTCCTCGGAGCGACAGCAGCAGCCCGACAGAGAGGAGGAAGAGGAGGGAGGAGCAGATGATGAAGAGGTGCGTCCAGCGTTTCCTCCCAGTGATGTCACAGAAGTAGCAGACGGTGATTGGCTGACCGCTGACACAGGGGCGTGGCGTTCGATCTGTGATGTCACCTCAACGGCCACGCCTTCCTGCTTCAGACGGCTGCGGTGGGCGGAGTCTGGAGCCGGTGTCAGCCAATCAGGAAGCTTAGCCCTTCCAGCCGTCCCAGATCGGACCTCTGGACACAAACACAGGAACTGAAGGTTAAACCAGCTGGAAGGCGGTTCGGGTCCAGAGTCAGAGACGACGCAAACAACCTGAAACCCAAACATGGTTGTTAAGGCGACAGTGGGAACAAACAAAACCAGAGGCGGCTGGCAGAACCACAACACCAGGTTCACAGTAAGAGCTGCAGCAGAGAGTCAGCAGACTCTCCACAGACTGCGGCGTGTCCGCCGAGTGACTGTGGATTTGGTCTTTGTTCAGCTTTGTGAAAACTTCTGGATCATTTAGATCTGGAGAATCGTCCAGTTTTAGTAAAATGCCTTTTGTTCCCGGTGACCGTCTTTCCTCTGCCGGCCTGTGAAGCAGGGCAGAAGCTTCTCCAGGCTGAACCTCTCTGGAGAAGAGAGGTTCAGCTTCATCTTCCTGAAGCTGTTTGTCTCGTGTCTCGGCACACAGAATCAGAACAGACGATTCGTCCCAACTCTGATGATCAACCAGCTTCAGTGGAAACGGTGTGGATTTAAAACTGTTAGTTGTGATAAGGCGCACGTGTGTGTGTGTGTGTGTGTGTGTGCAGGAAGTCGCCCGATGCAGGCCAATCACAACGGAGAACTCGGAGGAAGACTCACAGCGTTCGGGATGATGAAGGCTTCTTCACTTTCGGCCACTTCCTCCTCTCAAACAGCCTGATGCAACAAACACACACACAGTTACACACTCAGCCAAACACACCGTCTGCACCGGCATCCCTCAGAGTGTGTGTGTCGGTGTGTGTGTCGGTGTTTGTACCTGTAGTCACCAAAGTCGCCATGAGCCCGCCCTCCTGCTGAGAAGATCATCTGATTGGTTAGTAAGCAATGGCTGCTGGAAAAAACAACCTGACTACAGCTGAGCTGGCGTTAACGGAGGTCACCTGAACGCACCACCAGCACCTCAGTTTGCTCCTCCATCCGGAGGTGAAGGAACTACAAGCTGAAGTTATTTTGGTTTGTTCTGTTTGGTTAAATTTATGTCTTTAAACATAAATATTTACTTATTTACTGTCTTCCTTCCTCTATGCGCTCATGTCTGTCTGATCTGGAGCAAAATATTAACATTTCCTTCGCAGCTGAAGCACTTTAAACACTGTCAGTAAATCACCGTCTGGTGCAAACTTTACATTGACTGTTAACCTTCTAGAGATTTAAAAACTGGTTGAAGGTTTAACTTCAAACTAACTTTTGCAACTAAGAAAACACCGTGAAGAGAAGCAGTGAAACCAGTGAAACCAGTTGGTCCAGAGCTGGTAGTTATTTTCAACAGCATCATCATGTTGCTGATGAACACATGACAACCGTCAGAATTAACTGAGGCGTTCCACAGGGCTGAGTGTTTGGCCCAGTCTGACAAAGTGCTGCACTTTTAGAAAACAGGAACGATTTGAGATGAAAATGACTTCAAACATGGTGAGAGTCATAGTGTGTGTGTGTGTGTGTGTGTGTGTGTGTCTGTGTGTGTGTGTGTGTGTGTGTGTGTGTCCGTCCTACCCAGCTCTACTGAGCGCGTGCGAGGATTACACTGCTTGTGGCCCTTGCAGCCTCTGAGCTCCATCAGCTGGACGTGCAGCTGGTTCAGAACCGTCCGGTCCAACGAGCTGACGGCGTTTATCAGCTGCAGACACAGAGAGACGGACACAACAAGGACTCAGGCAGAATCTGGACGACTTCAACAGAGACCAAACCTCTGAGGTCCAACAGCTGAGGAAGGTTTTTAAAACAGATTCACATTTGGTCGTTTTCAAAACTCAAAATGAAACCAAAGGTTCTGAACATCCAGGAGGAATTTAACTTTTAATGTCTGAACATGGGATAAAAGTCAGAGTTTAACACATTGAAGAACATTTCCAGTAAATATTCTAAATAGCAAACAAATAAAACAAAATACTTTATTTACAAATTTTCTGCACAGCTGAACCAAAGTGAGATGAATAAAAAGATCATCCTGTGAAAACTGGCTGGTTATGAGGGGCTCGGCCCTCCAGAGGGCGCTGTGTGTGTGTGTGTGTGTGTGTGTGTGTGTGTGTGTGTGTGTGTGTGTGTACCTGGTACGGGTCGGTGCTCAGGTCGAAGTACTCCAGGAATCCGGTGGCGAACTCACAGAACAGGAAGTTGTGCGTCTCGTTGATGGTCCTCAGGCACCAGTAGGTGTTGTTGTTGGCGCTGGTGCAGGCGCAGAACGGTCCCACTGAAACACACCGAGTCACGACACATGACCCCTGCAGGATGACCTTTAACCCCTGAAGCAGGAACTATGTGGTGTGTGTGTGCCGTACATGTCCAGAAGGGGGCGGTGTGCCAGTGCTGGTTGTCGTGTGTGAAGCAGGTGAGTCCGGGCATCGAACACGTGTCATTGTTCCTGATCCTCTTCATCATCTTCCTCATCTTCTTCCTCCTCTTCTGCTCCTTCAGAAGCCAGTTCTTCTTATTCCAGGCCCCGCCCTTCCTGCTGTCTCACACACACACACACACACACACACACACACACACACACACACACACACACACAGGTGTTGACAGGTGACCACCCTGATGATGATGATGACCTCACTGTGACCTTTCTGACTCACCTGAAGGGATGAAGGCCTCCTCCTCTGAAGCGAAGCTTCTTCTTCAGTTTGGCTTTGTACCTGCACACACACACACACACACACACACACACACACACACACACACACACACACACACCATCAGGCATCAGCCCAGTTCACCCAAATTAAGAACGAAGTGCAGAATTATGTTTAAATATAAAACTGGCTGAGATCACAGAATGGATGGATGGATGGATGGTTGGTTGGATGCTGGTTGGATGAAGCCACTGATTGGTCGGTTCGGGTCGTTTGCTTACAGGTACTTGTTGCAGTCGCACTCCAGGGGGCGGGACTTCTTCAGGTGACCTCTGACCTCTCTCAGGTTCTTGATCTTGGTCTGCAGAGTCTCGATCTGAAGAGAGAAGACGTTTTATTTCTGCAGTTCTGGATGTGGTCCCGTCTGTTTGGGTCGGTTCCTCCAGTCGGAACCAAACAGAACCAGGAGCTCAGAGTCCGATTCACACAGGAAGTACTGCTGCTGCGCTGCAGCCTCACATCCTGTCGACGCTCAGATGCCTTCATCCAGCTCTGGCTCTCCGTTGCCTTGTGTCACCACAGCCAGGCCCCTGAAGACCTAAGAGAATACTTTGACTAGGCCCTGCCCGTACCTCATGGTCGATGTGCAGCTTGTGGTCCTTCCAGGCCTGCAGAGATTTATAAACTCTGGTGTCGCACTTCACCGAGGCGTTGGACAGGATGGAGCACCTGCAGGCGAGCGGCCCAGTCAGACCAGAACCAGAACCAGATGGATTTGTTATTCAGGGCAGAAAAGTAAAACTTCTCTGACCTGTGAGTCACTCTGACGGCGCTGGATGGCGCCGGTGCGTCAGTAACTCCTCCCATCCCGCTGAACTCGTCCTCGGGTTCATTCTGACCAGCTCCGCCCACCAGGCTCTGGTTGCCAGGGTAACCGTGCAGCTCGGACAGCGAGCGGCTGTAGCGGTTCCTTGAGAAGCTTTTCAGGGTTTTAAACTCTGAGACAGAAAAACAGAAACAGTCTGAGTTCATGAATTAACGCCTGCATGAGATGCAGTTCTGTCCACAGACACCAGAGGGCAGCATCTCCAAATAAAAACCACAGCAGCAGTCTCACTTCCTCTGGCATAATTTGACTTCTTTGTGCCAAATTCCACTCAGTGCTGCCCCCTGCTGGTCAGCAGTGGTAACACTCACTCTTCTTGGAGAAGAAGGACTTCTTGTTGAACGACCTCACCACGGAGGGCCGGAGGTTCGCGGGCAGGACGTCGCTGAAGTCGCAGTTGCAGGCGTCCGGGTTGGGAGTGTACAGCTGAGACTTGATGCTGATTGGACGCTGGAGGCTGGCCACGCCCCTCTGGAAGATCTTGGCCCCGCCCCCTTCGTTCTTGCACTTGAAGAGTCGCAGTTTTCCCGACGCGTCCTCCACACACTGCCACTTCTGGACACACAGAGACACGGACAGTAAAAACCCGGAGACACTCAGGGGCCCATTCAGAACCTGAATCAAGTGGTTCTGAACGGTTCCATGAATGACTGTCAGCCCGGGTCGTTCCCAACAGAACCAACCGGTCCCCAGTCCGCCTGGCGTTCACATTCAAACTGAACCAGAGTTCACTTCAATCGAACCCAGACCGGGTTCTGGAGGACCAGAGGTCAGTTAGCATTCACACCTCACCAACCGGACCGGACTTTGACTAGGCAAACGGACTGGAGTCGGGTTAAAGCGGACCGGAGTCGGGTTAAAGCGGCCCGGAGTCGGGTTAAAGCGGACCGGAGTCGGGTTAAAGCGGACTGGAGTTACTGGTTTCAGCCTAAAGCTGTGAACCATGTTTAAACAGAAACAAAGATTTTAACGTCTGAGCGATAAATCCAGTTCGTTTCTGATGGTTGGGACTGAAAACTTTAGAGGGATCCAGAGGAACCGGACTGGGATGCGATCCTGGTGAGGTGACCGGAGCAGCAGGAGAACCCGGTGTGTGTGCTACCTGTCCGGTCTGCTGGCAGGGCGTCTGGTACTCGGCTCTCTGACACAGGTCTTTGACTCGCTGGTGTTTGGGCAGGAAGTTCTCCTCCTGAGAAACCTCCTTCCCCTCCACCTGCTGGTGCAGCAGCTTCCTGTCAAAACAACAGCAGAAAAAATCTGCTTCTTATTGCAATTCAGGCTCATTTCAGAAAAAATATTTGAACATCAGATTCATTCAAAATCTGATGTTTCTGAATGAACAAGTTCTGGTTCCAATAATAATTCCTAAATATTATTTTCCATTCTTCAGATTGTTGGAACTTTAATTTGTTTCCGGGGGAGTAAATATGGCGTGACACAGAGCCCTGCTCCTTAAACTTCATTTCAGGAGGAGAAACTGATTTTAGGCATAAATCTGATCTGATGGATAACTGATTGATTGGATCCTGGAAGCGTCTCGGACCTCGTCTGCCTCATTCCAGGTTCAGAACCAGAACCGGCAGGACTTTCTGACCCGGTTTGTCCTGGTTGGTCTGAGGCGGGCCGCTGTCCGTATCATTAACCGGGTTCACGGCCGTCAGAGTCAGAAGCTTCAGACATATTTACCCTCTCTCCACCAGGAACGAGTCTCTCCAGACCTTCGGCTTCCTGCTCATCTGGAACCTGGAGGAAAGAGAAGCAGCGTTACTTCCTGCTGCTCCTCGCTCTCCGTCTTCAGTCTGTAACATTTTACCTCATATGAAACATTTACATCCAGCCTGAGCTCTTTCTTTCACCTGAATCCTTCAGCCATCGTTCAGTTTTCTGAGGAAATTCACACATAATCAACAGATCCCTGCACAGATGTTGGTTTATCAATAATTGTGAATGTATTGCAAATTTTCTGCAAACATTATTGGGTTTAAGCGATGCTGACTCCCACCTGCAGGTGGCAGTGTTTCTAACTTCTACCTGAAGTTTCAGTCTGATGTGCAGAGGAACAAAATTTGAATTATTTGTGTAACAAAAATATTTGTGTCCAGTTTCTCTGCTTGTTATTTTAATCTTTTTTCTTTTATATGAAGATATAGGATGAGGTTTAATTTTAATAAGAAAAAAAAATCTTTAAATTTCTTACAAATATTCCTAAATCAGCTCAGCAAAATTCACAAATGACAAAAAAAAAAAAAAAAAAAAAAAAAAAAAAAAAAGAGCTAGGGGTGCGCCACATTGTTTTTTCAACTCACCCGAGAAACAAAACAAGCAGCCAGG